AGGGGCTCTCAGCTCTCCCTGGAGCCTTCTCTTCTCCAGGGGAACCCCCCCAGCTCTCCCAGCCTGGCTCCAGAGCAGAGGGGAGCCCTGGGAGCATCTCCATGTCCCCTCTGGACTCGCTCCAGCAGCTCCACGTCCTTCTGATGGCACAGTTCTTAAATCACAGTTTCCCATCCCAGAGGTGTTTTCATCCCTGTGTTTGCTCCTCTGCTCACCCTCTGTGACTGGGAATAGCAACATCCACCTCTGCCACAGGGACACTGTGAGCAGTAACTCCTGTTGATATTCCCCCGTGTTTCTGGCCCAGTCAGGTCCAACAGCAATGAGTGGGAGAAGATCAAGAGTTGTGCATGTGCTGGTAGCACAGATATCCCATGGCATTGAACCAGGACCCCTGGGAAGCAGAATCCTGCATCAAATCCACACCCTGCCAGGAGCACTATTCCATCAGGATGCAGAAGTGCTGGGGGAAAAAAATAGTTAGGAAAGCGTGTAATTACGTCCCAGGCTGCAATGGCCAAGCAAACGTGGTCCTGGCATTCCCTGCCTTGGAAGGATTTGACCTTGGAGCATTTGGGGTGGGTGCACATGGGGCAGGAAAAGCTGCAGGGAGTTGTAACTGTGTAAGAGGCTCATCATTGGAACATCACGGAATTAAATTTGGAGAGGTTGCTGGGAAAGCAAAGGTTAAATTCTCTTTTAATCCCCTAGAACAAATTTTTTTGTAGTTTTTCCTTTTCCCAGCAGCCTTCTCTGGACCACTGAAACAAGGACTGTAGCAAAGTTAGGAGATGTTGGGTTGGATTTTTCACAACCTTTTGTCAGAGCCTGATAATTCCATCTTTAATTCCCTGGGATTTAAGCTGGGCTTCTGCTGCCACCTAGCTTAGACTGGCTCCTGAGCTCAGCCAGCTCCCAGCAGGCAGAGGGACATGGTTTTCCTTGGAAAACTGGTTGCAAATTTGCGCTGAAACAAAGATCCAGAAGTGCAGTTTATGCTGAACTTGCAGTTGAGTCCCAGCAGCCGTGATCCTTCTGCCTTTTGTCTCCATTGGGAACATTAATACAGGACTTCTTCATCTCCATGACTCAAAATGGCTTCAACACCCAAAAGCCAAAGATTACAATTAAAAAAATATACCTCTTGCTTCAAGATAATGATTTGTAAATTTTGATTTCTAAATTGCAGAATAAGCCCCAAGATTTAGTATTAATTATATTGTTAATTATAGAAATTAATTCTAGAAAGAACCCGAAGTATTTTAAGATGTGAAGGTGGGTTGAAGGCGAAGATGTTAACTTCAAAAATGGATATTAATCAAATTATTATTATATTAATGGATATGAATTAAATTGATATATAAATTGATATATAAAGGTGAGTTGAGCAACAGGCATTTCCCAGGCATTAGAGTGATTCTACTGAACAGTATAGATATTTTATAGGTATTTTATCATATTTATAGATATTTTATCATCTGTGTATTTTGATATAAAGAGTGAAGTCCACATGGGAGGGATGCACTTCCCAGGGATTCATCTAATGGCTTTATCGCTTTTCCCTCCCTCATTCCCTGCACAGAGGCTCGTTTGAGGACTCCACGACCAGGTTTTACACGGCGTGTGTGGTGGAAGCTTTTGCCTATCTGCATTCCAAAGGGATCATTTACAGGGACCTCAAGCCAGAAAACCTCATTCTGGATCACCGAGGTTATGCCAAACTGGTGAGTTCCTGCAGCACCCCAAAAAGAGTCCCAGGAGGTGTCAGGGCAGAGGGGACACAGGTCACAAGAAAAGCCCCCCCCCAGGCCAGGGTCCTGTCTCTGGGGGTGGCCACCAGTAGGTGCTGAGATGGGATCAGGACAAGGGTGTTTTCCCAACCTCCAGCAGGGCTCAGGGTTGGGCTGGGAAGTGCTGATTCCAGCTGGAAGTTCAGATCTGTGCTCCCGAAATGTTTAGGAAAGAGCACGGGCAGAAACCCACCCGGCTGTTTGGGAGCTACTGAGGGACTGAAAGGGCTTGAAAATAGTTGTGGTCAAGTGTGTGTGGGACAGGAGACAGCGAGGTGTTGGATGACAGAGGATAACTGAGGGGGATTAGATGCAAGACTGCCCTTCTCACCCCAGGAAGATCTGGACATGGATCTCTACTGGTCCCATCACCAGCCCCCAGCTCCTGAGACATTTTGATCTCCCTGAGCCACATCCAGGATGGCACAAGTGTCCCACATCCCTTGTGGGGCCGTGACCATGTGAGCTCCTGAGCAGCACAAGGTGTAGGAGCATCTCAGAACCCCCCCAGGGCCAGCAGAGTGGGCTACAGCCCATGGCTGTGGGCCAGCAGGGCACCGAGGGCAGGGGCACAGCTGGGAATGCAGTGGGACAGTTACCCTGAGCTCTGCCCAGGCCCCAGAGGGCTTCCCTTCCCAGTGTAATCAGATTTTCCATGCTTGCCAGTGGCATTCTGAGGTTTGTTAGCCCACCAGCACATCCCAACAGCCTCCAGCAAACTGGGAGGACACTTGGACTGCATCCAGAAGAGAACTTGGCAATAGATGCTAAAAAGGCCAGTGTTGAGCCTAAATCATGGAATCATGGAATGGTTTGGATTGGAAGGGACCTCAAAGACCATCCAGTCCCACCCCTGCCATGGGCAGGGACACCTCCCACTAGCCCAGGTTGCTCCAAGCCCCGTCCAACCTGGCCTTGGA